CAGAAAACAATTAACTCCTTTTAACTAACTGGTGCAGTTAGACATATTCAGAATTGTTTTACTAAATGGCTGGAAGAGCAGAAAATCTGCTATTCAGCATTCCATTAGAAATGTTGTGGGAAAAAAATTGTTAATAGTTGTAGAGGTATAATAATACAGTTATGTGTATTTTGCATCTGGAAATTCCACATGCCATATGATAAAAATAAGCAAAATGAAATGGTGTAGTCAGGGAGAGGTCAGGACTAGGCCAAGGTGACAAGGCAGTTCCTTGGCAGCTCCCTCTGAATCTTTCAGCCATGCAAGCCTCCTGGTGACCTCCACATGGGGTGAAATTTTGGGATGTGAATAGGACTCTGTGAACTTTCTTGCTGCTGTCTTGAAACCAAATCAGGTTTCAATCTAAACTAATAAAGTCCGGAGTCACCCTTGGGATTCCCTGCCACTGCTGAGGAGTTTTAAAGCCTCAGTGTGAAAGAAAAGCTGATGCATCTGTCAGCAGGAGAAAAGATAGTGTTTTCCTCAGTGACTCCAGATGACAAATTACTGTCCTGAAGATACTGATGGAGTAGACCATGATCATGGATTTTTTTAGCAGAAATAAAAGTCCATGTTCAATTTAGTGTCTCCCTTATGAACAGCCATTGAGAAAGAAGACGCTGAGTCCTACAGACCTTCTAAGAAACGAAAGACTAAAACAAGGCTAAAATGGTAAACTGATATTTATATATAAGAAGAAGTAGAAGAGACAAACAAAGGCTTTATTTTAAAGACGAGGAGATTGACCAAAAGAAGGCTGTGCTTCCAGATGGCTACTAGGTTTGAATATATGCTTGAATAAGGTTTTCCTTAAGTAATATAGAAGAAAACCCTGTCATATTGATCTCCCCCTACCCTACATAAGCAATGCAGAGTATAAATCTCTGTATTAAACGACCTCAGGTAAAACAACGAAAGGAGCAGAACAAAGAGGGAGGAAATCCCTCTTTTCTGAAAACTTTACAAAGTTTTTCTGACAGTAGTAAGCGCAGGTAACCCCTTGAGAAGGATTAAAATCAGGCTCTTGTCTTGAGCAAGTCCTGGGCATCTGTCACTGGTTACTTGGAAGAAAAGGAGACTGAAGGCCAAAAGAAAGGCATGTGATAGAGGAGGTTGTGTCTTGGAGCCTGCTGAATGACAGATTCCAAGGTACATCTGTATACCTGTGACAGAACAGGTACAGCTATATCCACGTCTTTGCATGATGTGTTGTTGTCATTTTAAGTTCTCCACTGGATTTTGTGTGCACACACACTTTTTAAACAGACTGTACAGCACTGAAGAGTTACACCACTGCAGCACATGACATTCTGGACTTTTTTGGATACAAGTAGAGCTGGTATTCTTCTATGTGGACATGACAACTTGAAAGCTATTCCTATTACTGGCTTAGTCACATTTTACAAAGATGGGTGTGATTTTATGACCAGACATATTCCTTTCACCACTCTTGTTAAATATGCATTGCCTTGCTATGTCACTTCTTCAACAATGTGCAGTTTTGTTTTATCGCTTTGGAATCTTACTGCTTTTGGATGACTGCCTCATTTTATCATTTGGGATATGAAACTCTTTTTAATTAATATTCACTTTTTCCCTTTCTCAAATAGACTCTATAGCACCCTTAACAATTGTTGCATTTTGAAAAACTGTGATTTATTGCACAGTAAAAACCAATAGAGTTTAGGTCGTGATTAACTATAAAAGCAAGTGAGTGGTTAAATGAACACCCAGTATTCAAGAAAGCCACAGACATGCTAAAAAAATTACATCATATTTATTCCCCCAACATTTTATGGTGCAAATATCCCATTCTAGTATTTGCAAAAAGCGAGTGTTTCCTGTTAGTTGACTCTAAAGTGATACCACAACACAGTCTATGTCTGCAAAATCACAAAACTTTCTGTTTGTCAGAAGAATAATGAACAGAGCTGGATAAAGTGATGCAGGGGTATAAGACAGAAACATTAAAGCTGTTGTATGACATGCAATGACAACATAAAAGTGGCAAATAGTTGTTTTCCAACTTTCTCCTCTCTTGTTCCTTCACCTCTGTCATTTAGGTAACTTATAACTCATTTCTTGTTTCAGTTCTGAAAGACAGAAGGCTATATGAACACATAAGCAATATCCATATATAATGCTTTGTCTTCCAAGTCTTCCTTGTAGGAGAACAGTATAAATAGCTTGCAGCATACAAAAATCTCTTGTTCAAACAGTGATAGCAAAATGTTTCTTTCATCTTTTGGAAAGCCTCTAAATTTTAAAACTGCTCAGCTTGCTGCATTCGTTAGTATTTTTTTATTCTGTTTGCATGGTTTTAGAATTATGTGTAGTAGGTGGCAGGGAGACCATCAAGAATTGGAGAGGAAAGATTAACTTCCTTCATGTAAAGGACATTTAATCACAACTGTGCCTAATAAAAGGCTCTAGATTCAAGAATTGATTTTTATGGTTCATGTAAGGTTTGAGAGTTAGGTTCAGTTTCTTTAATTTAAAATTCTAAATTCATTTTATGCTTTTGAAGAAGGAGTTTAGATACTTCTTCATCCACCTCTTCTGTACGTGAACTATGCATGTGAATATTTGAAACCTTGTCTTATTTCTCCTGAAAATGCTTGGTGGTTGAAAACATGAGATGGGTGAATTGATGGACACATTCTTTTCAATGTACTCTCAACTCTGATTTCAGAGGCATGGGAGAGCACTCTTCAGATTATGTGATTCCAGCTGTGTATTCAGAAGGGGAGAATGAAACAGAGATAATGTAAGTTTGTCTTATTTTACTGTATATCACAGTAACATGTCTTAGAAAAGATAAGTCATAGGCACATTAGTGAATCATATCCCTGTGAAGGAAGACAACACGAGGCCGAATTTAGAGTATGTAGATAATCTGTTTTAGTAAACAAATGGTTGGATAACCCATTGGCCTATATATGTGAAAATGAGGTGTTCGTGTATTAAATGTATGGATTTTTTTCTAGTGCTTACTCTGTATATCATGGAATTTTCTTTGGTTTTCTGTGTCATATATGAGTGCTGCATTATATACTATATATTGATCCTAAATTATAAACTTAAACAATAGATAGTATCTGTATTTTATTTTCTTGGTGCTGTGGTACATGCAATAATCAAAGAACATCCACTGCAGTTGCTATTCCATTAAAGCTGTCATATGCATTTCATTCTGATATTTTTCCCCTTACTGCAGTCCAGCTCAGGGGTAAAAACAAACTCACAGACTGCACTCAAATGCAAACTTTTCAAATGGCATCTGTTTAGCCTTTAAGATTATAATCAGACTTATTCTGAGAATACTACACTAAAGCAGAGGAATGGAGATATGTGTGTATACTACAAGAAGCAAGTGCATTGGTTCAGTAAGCAGCTCAATTTTAGGAACAGGTTGTTGCTCTTGCAATCAGACTCCCATCAGTAATGGTGTACTGATAACTTTCTAGGAAATTATTACAAGTATTCTGTCCTAGTATTAGGGAGAAGTGGTGCTAAGGGGCATGTTTTGCCTTATTGTTTTCAGAAGTGTGCCAAGTCTCTGAGGCTGACCAATGATGCTGACGAAGGCCATTTCTGCCTCCTCAGACTGTTACACTAAAAATGCTCAATCAGCCACAGGAGCCCAAAGATGAACACAGGCAAAACTGTGAGAGCATCGCAAGGCTTCCCAACACATCCAAATATTCATTTATCATAGCTGTAATTCATCATTTGTTTTGGGCACTTTGCCAGCATACAAACTTCCAACAATTTCTCTCCAGAAATCTGACTGCCCTTTTTCTTTTGTAATGTTGAAGTGACTATGTTACTATCAATATGAAAAAAGTGGGGCCAGAAAACTAGTCAGTGAGACCTTAGTTCTGCAAATAATCATTTGTGTAAATTTGGAGAGAAGGAAAAAAAAAAAAAAAACAAACTAACAAAAAAATCCAAACTAAATCTTGACTTGTGGTCTGAATCTTCATCTCAAGATCTAATTGTTGAGGGACTGGCAGTGTCCCAGGTATTCAATAATGAGATTTAGAGTCTCCTACTGCCAGTCATTGGGTTGGCCACAGACTGCTGGGGCACAGCTCTGCTCTGAGCTTAGTGAAGTTGCTTGAGATGTACTAATTTAACTGAGATGGGGAATGGGCTCTGTGTTGGCAGTAAAAAGGAATTATTACTACAGGGAACTATTAGAGAGGTAATAACCCTCTCATACCCAAGTGGACAAGTTTCCCTATCTTTTTTCACATATACACGTCATCAAAGTTGGTACAAGTTTGCTGCCTTCCCAAACTGTGCAGAAAGATGAAGGCTAGCACAGGGACGGCATAAGAAATACGTGCCCTCCTAGTTGCTTGAGGTCAAGATTCAGGAGAACTGGTAGGCAGAAAAGATGCCTTGTCCTGCCTCTGCCTTTGCTGCCGTTGTTCTGTGAATGGCGAATATTTCAGCAAGCCTGGCAGCTTTTATGAACACTAAAATGATCTTTAAAACTGGATGTAAAACCCCTTTATTATTTGGTTGTTTTTCCAAAGTCTTACACGAACCCTTCAGGAAACTGTACTGTTTGCCCTCGTAAAAGTAGCTCTGACATTACTCTCAGGATGTTTATTAACTAAAATCCAGCCTTCTAAAGAAATTTAGCTTTCATCTCCGAACCCTTTTTTGTTAAATAAAGGAACGCTTCGTCTCTCTTGTGTGACTTTTGGTCTACCTCAGCAGCCCATTCTCTGGCAGTCCGTGTGGTGATCCTCCCGAGATGTAACCAGCCCCGCAGAAGGGAGACACGGGGCTGCTCTTCCATAGCCGGGGAGCTGGGTGGGATCCGGGGGCAACAGCTGCGGAAGGGGGGGGTTCCCCGGGATGGAGGGCGGGAGGGGGGGCGGTGCAGGAGGGCGCAGCTCCCCGGCACCAATCGCCTCTCGCAAGTCCCCGCGGTAGCGTCGGACCCGCCGCGATATCCGCGGGCAGCCGAGCCAGGAGCAGAGGCGGCCACTGCCAGCGGGGGCAGCTCCGGGGAGCAGGGCGGCCTCGGGGCTCCCTCCTCCTTCTCCTTCTCCTCCTCCTCCTTCTCCTCCTCCTCTGCCGCGCAGCCCCGCGCAGCCCCCCCAGCCCAGCCTCCCTCCGCAGCCAGAGGCAGGAGCGAGCGGCAAGCTCCCTCCGCGGCAGCGGAACAGGGGGCGCGGTGATGTGAGGAGCGCACCCGGCGGAGGAGGGAAGTCCCGTCGCCAGGAAGGCAGCCGGGAGCTCCTCCACGTTGCAAGGTAATCGGACCTCTCCTTTGCGGACTTTTCCTTCTGCCTTTTTCATTTTCCTCTCTTTTCTCCCCCCTATGTCTTTTGTCTTTATTTTTGTCTCTTTTTTCCTTTCTTTCTTTCTTCTCCTTTACTTTTTCTTCTTTTTCTTCATTTTCTTCTGAGGGTTTTGGATTTGTTTTGGTTTGTTTTTTTTTTATTTATTTATTTTTTTTTTTTAATTTTAGTTGTTCCTTTTATTATTTTTTTTTCTTCTTTCACCGACTCCGTAGCTGTCCAACCGCAGTCAGAGTGCGAGAAGGAGGCGGTAGGGAACGGAGCGAGCCCACACCGGGTCGCTCTGGAGTTTGCCTGGGACAATCTTTCCCCGCTCTCTGCAGGTGCACTGCCAGGCGGGCAGAACTGGGCAGGGCAGGGCAGAGATGGGCACGGAGCGTCCCGGCGTCGCGGCTGTCCGTCGGGAGCCGGGACCAGGTCGGAGAGGCGGAGAGGGGGCAGAGGGAGGCGCCTGGGGCACGGAGCGGCTCCCTCCAACTTTCCTGAGGGGGAAACGCCGGGGAGCCGCCTCGGGGATTTCTGCAGAACGATAAAACCCTATGGAAAAAGCTGTGCATGTGTGGATGCGTGTGGATGCTGTGGAGCAGGAGATGGAAACTATCCCCCCCGCCCCCTCGCCGTGGCTCCCGAGGAAGAAGCGACCCCCCCACTCCGGGGGGTGTCCGGGGGCTCCGGAGCTCGGCGGGCGCTGCGGGAGCGGCGCGGAGGGGTGCGGAGTAAATGGTACATGTTAAAAGATACGGAAGGAAGAGACCCAGTGATTGGGACATAAATCAGGCAGAATATATGGGGAGTTGATGAGAATAGGTCTTTTCACCCTTAAAAAAAAAATAGCTACTTTGGAAGAAAAAGAGGAGGCTGATTATTGGCATCCAGCTCTGAAACCCAGGCAGCTGATGCTGAAGGGAGCCAAAGGGAGCAGTTCTTCTTGGTTTAAAAACAGCAAGACAGTCTCTGCCAAAGATTGCTGTAAACACTGAATAAAGATTTCATTGTGGCATGGTGTGACTGGAATAATTAGGCAGTTAATTGTTCATTCTGATCTTTAAGTGCAGTAATCAGTCGGGCACAGTAGGAAAAATACAGGCGAAAGGGAGGAAGAATAGCAATAGGAAAATGATAGGAAAATGTATCACTTTTTCCTCTTTCGAAGTTTTTTTGTTGTTTTGGGGGTTTTTCATGTGGGTTGCTTTTGTGTGTGTGTGAGGGAGAGAGAGAGAGACTAGGAGCACGTGGGTCCCGGTATATTTAGATAGAGAACACCTTTGTAAAGCTGGGGTGTAATTGTGCTTTTGCTGCCACTGTGTCAACATCATTTTGAGCTGGACCAAATGAAGTTATGAGACTTAAAGAAATCCTATTTTATGGAAATGAAATCTGAAGACGCCTGGAGAATGAACATCTTAACTAGATTGACTAATACCAATTAATGCATTTTACTTATGTGTGCACTTTATTGCCAGCTCAGCAGGGATGAAAGCTAATGGTGCCAGCTTTTGTGCTGCTCTAAGACATTTCTCAAGCAGGCACACAAAGCTTTTATGGTAAACTGTTTTGAGTTTTTAACGCTGTGATTGTGTTCTTGTTCCACTCAAGTTTCTTGCAGTAGTGACTCTTGTGGCAATCTAATGAAATGATCTCTTGTTATGCTGTGTTAGCTATTCCCTGTGACACAGCAGGAAGTTATAACCTGTGTGTGTTTGTACTGGAGGTGGTGATAAGTTGTTGAGCAAGATGCACTTACAAGTGATAGAACATGACTTACTGATATTAACTGGAAGATGGCACCCTAGGCAGAAAATGTTTTGCTCTCCTATATAGCATGTTTTTCCATATATATATATATATACATTCTTGCTGAAGAAGAATTATTGTGAATTAACTCTTAAAAAGAATGGAAAGATGTTATGTTTAAAAATAAATTAAAAAAAAAAAACTTAAAAAGCAGTCCATAATAATTTAAGCAAAGTAAAAAAATCGCTTATAGTCCCATTGTAAAGGAAAAGACTCATCCTTTTTATAACTTCCTTGACTTTAGAATAGGTATGTGAAAGACTTATTTGGCTGAGAGCCATCTATGTAGCCTGCCCATTCATCATAAAAATATAAATAAACATACTGGAATTGGGCAAGGTTTTAAAATTAATTCAGTTAAGTATAATTTCTGTCACTGCACATGCAGAAATCTAGGACCTACCCATCAAAGAAAAGAAAAGGGGGGCAGGGAGCTTTTATTTGACTCTGAAAAGCAAACAACTTGTTATATTTTGTTGAAACTGCGTTTGTTGAAGGTTTTGACCTGCATTTTCTGAGCTTTTTATGGAAAAACAAGTGGAGAAAACATGAAGCATGTTGTCCATCTAACATTCCAAAACTAATATAAAACACTGCAGTCTTTGCTGAGGTCACAGAGTTTAGAAGAGCAAGGACAGAATGATGGCTCCAGAATTTTGTCGAAAGTGATGGTAAAAACATCCCTTAACAACTGGCCAATGGTAAGATCCACTTTACAAGCATTTTTATTAAGCTGTTGAATGTGCTCTCCCCTACCACAGTGATACTCAGTATTCTGTCTGTGAAGACTATTCCTGACTTAATAGCAAGCTGTACTGAAGGAATGTCTTCAAGACATTTACTTACTGGTACAGTCTAGCTGGCGATGTTGGTAACTTCACTTGCACCAGTGTACTCTGAGAAACCTAAGACTTTTCTACTCTTCTTACAGAAATCCAAAAAAGTGTAGTGACAAATGATCACAAAAGATACTCTACTCAAGTTTGTGCTTGCAATGTTCTATCAGAGAATGTTTCTAAACATTTATGTGGTGTACCCCTTGCACAAATGCCACATTAAACTGTAAAATAATTTGAAGAGTAATAAAAAGATTTTGAGAGGAGTCTGAAGTGTAAGTGGCTCCCCATTTCTGTAATAAAATGCGTTGAAAACACACTTTGGTCATCACAGTAAGTTAGGTAAGAAGTCTTTCTTGCCTTGTTATAACATACTTTGGAAAATACACAGAGGATTATACACTTCTATTCAAGGAAAATATTTTCCAACAAATTGTAGTTAAATCCTGGGTACTGTCTTATACCTAAATGTTGTTTGAAATGCATAGTACATCTTCGTAATAAAAGTGCATTGTCACAGATATAATTGTGATTCATAACAAGTAGTATCACAAACAGATTCCATTCCTTTAAGTATTGAGTCTCAGTCAGGCCAATTATGACTAAATTACTGCATGTTCTCTGCTGTATCAACTAATTAAAGGGTAATTAATAAAATGATAATTTAATTCCATGGCAATGTCTACATCTGGTTGTCATAGCAGAGATTGTTTGACATATAGTTAAATGGTCAGACACTACATTGTATGAATGCAACATTTGCACAGAACACCTGGCAAGCCAGAGGAATTTTAACCCTTAAGACATGAATTTCAAGAATCTGTGTCAATGTGTTATTAGACTGGTTTGCTTATTCTCTCCTCCTAGTCTTCTTACACCTTTAAGAATATTTAGTTCTCCAAGTTAATTTAAGTAACTCTCTTGGGATACTGGAAGAGTGGGTAGATGACTTGAGATAGTACATTGGAAATGAAAGATAAAATAGTACTGACTTGTCTGTGGGAAATAAAATAGGTGGTTCTAAATTAACTTCTGAGAAGAGACACTCCATTGGTTCTTGTAATACTGGAAGCTTCCCCTTCAAGAAAAATCAGGCTGAAATTAGCATGGAGACAAAATTATCTTTTTTTTTTTTTTTCCTAGATACAGTGTTATCCCAGGATTAAGACTGAGACTGTGGTCACAACAGCATGAGAAAATCTGCATTGCAGCCTTCCTTCACTGTACCTGTCATACGTAGATAAAACAAAGCTTATCAAGGACAGGAACCATAGAATTCACACATGCCAAAGAAATGAAAAAATATTCTATCAAGTCAACAGATTATATGAATAAGCAATTCTCCTGTAGGTAGCTGATGTACAAAATAACATGGACATACTCAGAAGTGTCAGTGGTTGAAATTTTCAGGACAGTCCATACATAAGATTTTATACAAAGCTTAAAGGAATATCCCTTAAGCCTCTACCATTGTCTTGATGAATTTCAACAACTGCTGTTTCAAAGTGTGCAAGACTGTATTTCTGTCCTTTAAAATCCTAAACTCTAAGAAGTGATACTTTAACGTAAGTTAAATGATAGTTTCTTATCTATACTGAGTCAAGATGAATCCCTTATAAAACTAAGAACAAGAAATGAAGTAACAGGCATAATGTTTTCCTTCTCCTTAGGACAAAAAAAATGCTTTAAAAAAAAGGGGAAAATAGCTAGTCCTTTTTCACAAACAGAGCAAATTAAAAAGGATGTAGTAAACTGCAGGAAGACATGAAAGTCTGTCTTTTCCCATGCCAGTGACCCTCAATGAACAGTTTCCCCAGTGAATAGTCAGGGCTGCTCATCACCTCGCGTGGTCAGGTGCAGAGCGTGGCTGGTGGTGGTTATAAAGCGCTGTTTGTCCATCTCTCTGAGAGCCTGAGTCCTGCTTCTTGAGAATTTCCAAGCGCATGGATCCATCTCATTTTCATTCTACTCATGTAGCTCATTAACACCTGGAAAATCTTTTATAGCATTTAACTACATCAGATGCACTGTCCGGCACATGTTTTATTAATAGGGCTTTCACTGTGGTATTGTCAAAGAGCCCTTATGTCACAGCTGGGAACATGAATCTGTCATGTCAGTTCTGTACCTTGGTTTAGACAGTAATAGTGTATGAGTGGGTTTTATGGAGGAGCCGAACATGCCCATATACTGTGTTAGCAGGGAAGAATGTGGAGCTTGTTCTCCTAAATAAAGACTCAGGCTGGTGCTAGTAGAGTACTTTGTACCATTTAAACACTCTGCCTCTAAGGCATTGCACTTACGGAAAGGGAAGTTTGAGGC